GGCACCTACCCATGTCAACACCTGCCACCTACCCATGTCAACACCTGCCACCTACCCATGTTAACACCTGCCACCTACTCATGTCAACACCTGTATTCTGCCACCTACCCATGTCAACACCTGCCACCTACCCATGTCAACACCTGTATTCTGCCACCTACCCATGTTAACACCTGCCACCTACCCATGTCAACACCTGTATTCTGCCACCTACCCATGTCAACACCTGCCACCTACCCATGTCAACACCTGTATTCTGCCACCTACCCATGTTAACACCTGCCACCTACCCATGTCAACACCTGTATTCTGGCACCTACCCATGTTAACACCTGCCACCTACTCATGTCAACACCTGCCACCTACCCATGTTAACACCTGCCACCTACCCATGTTAACACCTGTATTCTGGCACCTACCCATGTTAACACCTGCCACCTACCCATGTTAACACCTGCCACCTACCCATGTTAACACCTGTATTCTGGCACCTACCCATGTTAACACCTGCCACCTACCCATGTCAACACCTGTATTCTGCCACCTACCCATGTTAACACCTGTATTGTGGCACCTACCCATGTTAACACCTGCCAACTACCCATGTCAACACCTGTATTCTGCCACCTACCCATGTTAACACCTGTATTCTGCCACCTACCCATGTTAACACCTGTATTCTGGCACCTACCCATGTTAACACCTGCCACCTACCCATGTCAACACCTGTATTCTGCCACCTACCCATGTTAACACCTGTATTCTGGCACCTACCCATGTTAACACCTGCCACCTACCCATGTCAACACCTGTATTCTGGCACCTACCCATGTCAACACCTGTATTCTGGCACCTACCCATGTTAACACCTGCCACCTACTCATGTCAACACCTGCCACCTACCCATGTTAACACCTGCCACCTACCCATGTTAACACCTGTATTCTGGCACCTACCCATGTTAACACCTGCCACCTACCCATGTTAACACCTGCCACCTACCCATGTTAACACCTGTATTCTGGCACCTACCCATGTTAACACCTGCCACCTACCCATGTCAACACCTGTATTCTGCCACCTACCCATGTTAACACCTGTATTGTGGCACCTACCCATGTCAACACCTGCCACCTACCCATGTCAACACCTGCCACCTACCCATGTTAACACCTGTATTCTGGCACCTACCCATGTTAACACCTGACACCTACCCATGTTAACACCTGCCACCTACCCATGTCAACACCTGTATTCTGGCACCTACCCATGTCAACACCTGCCACCTACCCATGTCAACACCTGCCACCTACCCATGTCAACACCTGCCACCTACCCATGTTAACACCTGCCACCTACCTATGTTAACACCTGTATTCTGGCACCTACCCATGTTAACACCTGTATTCTGCCACCTACCTATGTTAACACCTGTATTCTGGCACCTACCCATGTTAACATATGTATTCTGCCACCTACCCATGTCGACACCTGCCACCTACCCATGTTAACACCTGCCACCTACCCATGTTAACACCTGTATTCTTCCACCTACCCATGTCAACACCTGTATTCTGCCACCTACCTATGTTAACACCTGCAACCTACCCATGTCAACATCTGTATTCTGCCACCTACCTATGTTAACACCTGCCACCTACCCATGTTAACACCTGCCACCTACCCATGTCAACACCTGTATTCTGGCACCTACCTATGTTAACACCTGAATTCTGGCACCTACCTATGTTAACACCTGCCACCTACCCATGTCAACACCTGTATTCTGGCACCTACCCATGTTAACACCTGCCACCTACCCATGTCAACACCTGCCACCTACCCATGTCAACACCCGTATTCTGCCACCTACCCATGTTAACACCTGTATTCTGGCACCTACCCATGTTAACACCTGCCACCTACCCATGTTAACACCTGTATTCTGGCACCTACCCATGTTAACACCTGCCACCTACCCATGTCAACACCTGTATTCTGCCACCTACCCATGTCAACACCTGCCACCTACCCATGTCAACACCTGTATTCTGCCACCTACCCATGTTAACACCTGCCACCTACCCATGTCAACACCTGTATTCTGCCACCTACCTATGTTAACACCTGCCACCTACCCATGTTAACACCTGCCACCTACCCATGTCAACACCTGTATTCTGCCACCTACCCTTGTTAACACCTGTATTCTGGCACCTACCTATGTTAACACCTGTATTCTGGCACCTACCCATGTTAACACCTGCCACCTACCCATGTCAACACCTGTATTCTGCCACCTACCCATGTCAACACCTGCCACCTACCCATGTCAACACCTGTATTCTGCCACCTACCCATGTTAACACCTGCCACCTACCCATGTCAACACCTGTATTCTGCCACCTACCTATGTTAACACCTGCCACCTACCCATGTTAACACCTGCCACCTACCCATGTCAACACCTGTATTCTGCCACCTACCTATGTTAACACCTGTATTCTGGCACCTACCCATGTCAACACCTGCCACCTACCCATGTCAACACCTGCCACCTACCCATGTTAACACCTGCCACCTACTCATGTCAACACCTGTATTCTGCCACCTACCCATGTCAACACCTGCCACCTACCCATGTCAACACCTGTATTCTGCCACCTACCCATGTTAACACCTGCCACCTACCCATGTCAACACCTGTATTCTGCCACCTACCCATGTCAACACCTGCCACCTACCCATGTCAACACCTGTATTCTGCCACCTACCCATGTTAACACCTGCCACCTACCCATGTCAACACCTGTATTCTGGCACCTACCCATGTTAACACCTGCCACCTACTCATGTCAACACCTGCCACCTACCCATGTTAACACCTGCCACCTACCCATGTTAACACCTGTATTCTGGCACCTACCCATGTTAACACCTGCCACCTACCCATGTTAACACCTGCCACCTACCCATGTTAACACCTGTATTCTGGCACCTACCCATGTTAACACCTGCCACCTACCCATGTCAACACCTGTATTCTGCCACCTACCCATGTTAACACCTGTATTGTGGCACCTACCCATGTTAACACCTGCCAACTACCCATGTCAACACCTGTATTCTGCCACCTACCCATGTTAACACCTGTATTCTGCCACCTACCCATGTTAACACCTGTATTCTGGCACCTACCCATGTTAACACCTGCCACCTACCCATGTCAACACCTGTATTCTGCCACCTACCCATGTTAACACCTGTATTCTGGCACCTACCCATGTTAACACCTGCAACCTACCCATGTCAACACCTGTATTCTGGCACCTACCCATGTCAACACCTGTATTCTGGCACCTACCCATGTCAACACCTGCCACCTACCCATGTCAACACCTGCCACCTACCCATGTTAACACCTGTATTCTGGCACCTACCCATGTTAACACCTGACACCTACCCATGTCAACACCTGTATTCTGGCACCTACCCATGTTAACACCTGTATTCTGGCACCTACCCATGTTAACACCTGTATTCTGGCACCTACCCATGTCAACACCTGCCACCTACCCATGTCAACACCTGCCACCTACCCATGTTAACACCTGCCACCTACCCATGTTAACACCTGTATTCTGGCACCTACCCATGTTAACACCTGTATTCTGGCACCTACCCATGTCAACACCTGCCACCTACCCATGTCAACACCTGCCACCTACCCATGTCAACACCTGTATTCTGGCACCTACCCATGTCAACACCTGTATTCTGGCACCTACCCATGTCAACACCTGCCACCTACCCATGTCAACACCTGCCACCTACCCATGTCAACACCTGCCACCTACCCATGTCAACACCTGCCACCTACCCATGTTAACACCTGCCACCTACCCATGTCAACACCTGTATTCTGGCACCTACCCATGTCAACACCTGTATTCTGGCACCTACCCATGTCAACACCTGCCACCTACCCATGTCAACACCTGCCACCTACCCATGTTAACACCTGTATTCTGGCACCTACCCATGTTAACACCTGCCACCTACCCATGTCAACACCTGTATTCTGGCACCTACCCATGTTAACACCTGTATTCTGGCACCTACCCATGTTAACACCTGCCACCTACCCATGTCAACACCCGTATTCTGGCACCTACCCATGTTAACACCTGTATTCTTCCACCTACCCATGTTAACACCTGCCACCTACCCATGTCAACACCTGTATTCTGGCACCTACCCATGTCAACACCTGCCACCTACCCATGTCAACACCTGTATTCTGGCACCTACCTATGTTAACACCTGCCACCTACCCATGTCAACACCTGTATTCTGGCACCTACCCATGTCAACACCTGTATTCTGGCACCTACCTATGTTAACACCTGCCACCTACCTATGTTAACACCTGTATTCTGGCACCTACCCATGTTAACACCTGTATTCTGGCACCTACCCATGTTAACACCTGCCACCTACCCATGTCAACACCCGTATTCTGGCACCTACCCATGTTAACACCTGTATTCTTCCACCTACCCATGTTAACACCTGCCACCTACCCATGTCAACACCTGTATTCTGGCACCTACCCATGTCAACACCTGCCACCTACCCATGTCAACACCTGCCACCTACCCATGTCAACACCTGTATTCTGGCACCTACCCATGTCAACACCTGCCACCTACCCATGTCAACACCTGCCACCTACCCATGTTAACACCTGCCACCTACCCATGTCAACACCTGCCACCTACCCATGTCAACACCTGTATTCTGGCACCTACCCATGTCAACACCTGTATTCTGGCACCTACCTATGTTAACACCTGCCACCTACCCATGTCAACACCTGTATTCTGGCACCTACCCATGTCAACACCTGTATTCTGGCACCTACCTATGTTAACACCTGCCACCTACCTATGTTAACACCTGTATTCTGGCACCTACCCATGTTAACACCTGGCACCTACCTGTCCACGCTGATAGCCGTCAGGTTGAGGATTGAGGCTGTACATGCTAGAACGTCAGACGCTACCCACGCGTCACAGAGGGGGGCGCTGAGTAGCCAGTGGTTGGTCATCACCTGGTGAGTAAAATATGACGTCATTTTAACGGTTGGTGCAGTTGTTGAGTAAAATATGACGTCATTTTAAAGGTTGGTGAGTAAAATATAACATGTCTTTTTAACGGTTGGTAAGTAAAATGTGACGTCATTTTAACGTTTGGTGAGTAAAATATGACGTCATTTTAACGGTTGGTGCAGTTGGTGAGTAAAATAACACATTTCATTTCAACCATAATTGCAGCACACTTTGTTCTATTTGTATTACATGTGTCTTTAGAACCATTAATGTAACAAGAAGAGATGAAGAAACAACAAAGAGAGATAAAGGCGCACATTTAAAGAAACAAAGTTCCAATACACAAAGGGGCTGTAAATAAAGTTAAGACTGACCGAAATATCAGAGAAGTGTTAAATATTTGAGTGTGTGATCTTAGGTTCCAGGTGGGTTAGGGGGGATATGGTGTCTCGTTAGTTTGTGATGAACGGTTGGTGTGAATGTGTATTGTGTAGGTTTTCTGTGAATGTGTATTGTGTAGGTTTTCTGTGAATGTGTATTGTGTAGGTTTTCTGTGAATGTGTATTGTTTAGGTTTTCTGTGAATGTGTATTGTTTAGGTTTTCTGTGAATGTGTATTGTTTAGGTTTTCTGTGAATGTGTATTGTGTAGGTTAGTGAATGTGTATTGTGTAGGTTAGTGAATGTGTATTGTGTAGGTTAGTGAATGTGTATTGTGTAGGTTTTCTGTGAATGTGTATTGTGTAGGTTAGTGAATGTGTATTGTGTAGGTTAGTGAATGTGTATTGTGTAGGTTTTCTGTGAATGTGTATTGTGTAGGTTTTCTGTGAATGTGTATTGTGTACGAATTTTTTAATGTCATTACTAAGCTGCCTTCACACTTCATACATAAGAGGACACAATTGAAGTTTAACTGTACGGAAACAGCCTCTAAATGAAACAAGAAAGGTGAAGTTATTGACGAAGATTTGAATTAGCTTCAATTGAAAAACGTTCTTAGACGGGCTATCTAGCTGTAACATTTATATAATGAAATACAATTTTTTTTTACAGACGATCTTCTATATTTAATTAACTGAACTCAAACATATTTGATAGACTAGCTCGCTTAGGACTAAATACTTAAGTTAATGACGTCATACAATTTAAAAAAAATGTCACAACAACTAAGCTCTTCATAATTTAATTACAAATGAATTAAATACTTTCATACTTATTGCATAACTTATACACATCTATGTTTGTGATTTGAATTGACTGTTTGTATGCTTTTAAACTAAAGATCGTTTTGCTAAATAATTGATATAACACGCCAAATCACGCATTGATGTAAGTGTAAGTTTTAATTTACAGAAACCCCCACATCCCATAGTGCTTGCGGATTCCATTAAGTAGCATGTATATTTGACCAAGTGTATTGCCTGGTCTGTCTAATGGGGACATGTCGATATGTAAATAAATGGAGGCAAATCTGTGCTAATCGATCAATCGATGAATGTCATCAACAGACGTAAGTTTGTGGTACTTTTATTACATACCTTTTCTTTGATTACTTAAGCAATTTTTAAAATATCTAAACTTTTTTACGTTTCTATGACTGGCTAAAAAACAATTAAGAAAAAAAAATTAAACGTGTACAGTCTTACATAAAACTTTAGATTCAATATTAGATTTTAAGCAAATTAGATTTACGATGAATATAAATAAAGTATCATGAAGCAGATTATTTAATTCAGTTTTGCCTTAATTGATTTTACACGTATGTGGCATAATGTGACTAAAAATAGCTGACCCATTGTGAATGTACCATATAACTGTTCTTATTAAGTTCTCAACAACAGTTTCGGTAGTTTAACATAAAACCCATCCACACACAACATAGACACATCAGCAACCACAACACATACACCACATCTGACATTGTTATGTACACAACAATAACCACAAGATACATCCACATTCACAAGACACATGCACATTCACAAGACACATGCACATTCACAAGACACATGCACATTCACAAGACACACCCACATTCACAAAACACACATCTACATTCACAAGACACACACATTTTCACACTCTCACCCACACCCACACACATCAACTAAGATGTCACCAAACCAAGGCTATCGTCTACCACCAACAAACACCACTCCGTGAGACCACGACCTATTATAAGCAGTGCTATATTTATCCTCCAATGAATGTTAAGTAGTGGGTGTTGTCATAGCGTGTAAGCCAAGTTAGGTGTGGAGGAGAATGACTCTGGCGATGATGTAACTCGTGTTAGATTGTAGATTCTGGTCTATTTTTAACGTGAGTAAAAGATAGTCTTAGACAAAGGCGTGAGTTCAAGGAGTGAGTAGAGGATCATTGGTACGTTGTCAATACAAGGTTAGACCAGTCCTAGCTAACCACTGATTGCTAGAGCCTATATTTTGACTGGGATATTCGCGTGACTCTATAAGGTGACTGAAATCAGGGTTTCTTTCAGGTATCTCTACAGGTGGGGGAGGGGGCTGCTCTGTCGAAGCACGTCTCCCCTCCCCCAACCTTTAAGTAGAAAAGAAAATTATATCTAAAATAGCTACTTTGACTACTGTAAACACCCACAGGAAATGGAAATGCGCCCCACCATCCGAAAATTTTAAGTTCGCTTCTCCTCCAACCTCCCCCCCCCCCTCCCCCACCACCCGGAGAATAATATCAGAATGTAATAATGTAATAAATAGAGAGGTGGCTGAAACATGACTGAAACATGACTGAAATAACGGGATGACTGAAAAAAGAAATGACTGAAATTCGAGACTGTATTGTGTTTAGAAATAGACCGGCCTTTTTGTGGAGGGTAAAAACAAATTGCATCTTCGTGTGGAGGTAATTAGCCTGTGCAGCAATTACTGCTCCTCATTAAAAATTAATAATCGTGTGTATTTCTTTGGGAACTAATTACACCTTGTAATGAATCTCAGATGCAAAGTATGATAAAAAGACATTTTTTGCGAAGATATGAAATGTAATTACTACAGGTGAAGTAGAGTTGATCTGTTCATGTGACCCAACGCACGGAAAAATAATTATAAAGACGGCTAGCTCTAACGGTTCAGGTAGCGGTCCTCTAGTAGGTCACCTAGTAGGTCCCCTAGTAGGTCCCCTAGTGGGTCCCCTAGTAGGTCCCCTAGTAGGTCCCCTAGTAGGTCCCCTAGCCTCCAGTCAAGTAAACTGTACTCAAATCACGAACATGTCTTAGATTAGCTAGGAGTGCAGCAGGGTTTCGAACCAAGGATGTACCCTAGCCTATTCATCAACTGAGTCAGTTTGCCAGCTATGAGAATCTCAGAGACCCTCCATGTTGACGCGCATGCGTGCTTGCAACATGAAGATGGCGTCAAAATTAGAAAATTGATTACTAGAAGCTTGACACCTTGCCCCGCCCCTCACCCCCCCCCCCCTACAAGCTCCACAAAAAAATGTTGAAGATAAAATTGGCGAATTCCCCACCAGGGACTTGATACCGTCCGACTGAAATGGAACAATTTTTTTTTTTTGAAAAGGGTTGCAACCATGGCGTAAAATTTGGGGACGGGGGTCGTAAAGGGAGAGTTCACAGATCGATGTGGGGGGGGGGGGGCTTGTCGTGTAATGAAGTAGGGACTATTTTGGTCGAGAAATTTGACACGGTCTAGCATTCAAATTGTCTAGCTGAGGAGGTGAGAAGCGACGGGGGGAGGGGACATCACTCCAACAGTGCAGGGTGTATTCACGCATGGGAAATAGCTATGTCGGGGAAGGCGGGGCTGGTGGTGTAGGGGTGGGCATGTGGTGATGGCGTGGTGGGTAGGGTTAGAGTGCGAAATGGTATCATTTGTAAAATAACAGGTAGTAAACTTCCATCTAGAACCGTTCGGCCCTCGGGGAAGGTGAAGTAGAGCTGACCTGTTTTTGTGAGGGGATAGTCTGGTAAGCACTATGCCGAGCCGCTTTAATTTCTCTAGCGTAGGTCAGGTACCCATCAGAGCTGGGTGGACTCAGTGAGTTAGGTACCCATCAGAGTTGGGTGGACTCAGTGAGTGAGGTACCCATCAGAGCTGGGTGGACTCAGTGAGTCAGGTACCCATCAGAGCTGGGTGGACTAGAGTCAGGTACCCATCAGAGCTGGGTGGACTAGAGTCAGGTACCCATCAGAGTTGGGTGGACTCAGTGAGTCAGGTACCCATCATAGCTGGGTGGACTCAGTGAGTCAGGTACCCATTAGAGCTGGGTAGACTCAGTGAGTCAGGTACCCATCAGAGCTGGGTATTGAGTCAGGTACCCATCAGAGCTGGGTGGACTAGAGTCAGGTACCCATCAGAGCTGGGTGGACTAGAGTCAGGTACCCATCAGAGCTGGGTGGACTCAGTGAGTCAGGTACCCATCAGAGCTGGGTGGACTAGAGTCAGGTACCAATCAGAGCTGGGTGGACTAGAGTCAGGTACCAATCAGAGCTGAGTGGACTCAGGGACGAGAAACAACCAGGCCCCGAACTCGAGACTTTCGGGTTACAATTTGAACGCTCTATCATTCAACCACCCCACACAATGTGAGCACCCCACACAATGTGATCATCCCACACAATGTGAGGTACGGACGCTGACTGAAATGGTATATACTGTATAATGAGAAGTATGGACGTAAAATAAAACGCTATCCGTTGTATATTGCTAAAGGGACGTTAAGAATCAAATGCTATTATTTGCAAAATCAGATGAATGGACGTTGAATAAAATGGTGTCATTTGAAATAAGCAGTGTTATTATATTTTCCTTCCAGCTACACTTCTTTAAAAGGTTTGACTAAATTATGTCTGTCCTGTCGGCATTTTGGGTGTCGGCCTTTTGAGTGTCGGCCTTTAGGATGTCGGCCTTCTCGACTAAACAGTTTTTAAAACTAGGAACTTGGAACCCCAGGGTAAAGATGGACGTGTCGTATTTTCTAGTGGCTCGTAGTTTCGTTGATTAATTG